GCCGTGGAGGCAGCGGGATGCACCGTGGAGGCAGCGGGATCTGCCGTGCCCACTGGGGATGCACCGTGCAGGCAGCGGGATGCGCCGTGCCCGCTGGGGACGCAGTTCCGCTGCGCGCATTCCCAGCGGTGCCGCTGGGATGGTTGGTGTCCAAGGCCTGCGGGAAGGCGGAGGGAAACATCGTCCCGGCTGCGCCTCAGCCGCGCAGAATAACTCGCCATTAACAGCAGCAGATCAGGCACAGCACAGACACAGCCTGTGGTTTCCTCTGAAATGTTAACACAGGCTTCTGCTCACCCTGATCTGTTTTAAGACAAAATAACTGCTTTCAAGGTATCTTTTTTCCGTGTCCAAGGCCTGCGGGAAGGCGGAGGGAAACATCGTCCCGGCTGCGCCTCAGCCGCGCAGAATAACTCGCCATTAACAGCAGCAGATCAGGCACAGCACAGACACAGCCTGTGGTTTCCTCTGAAATGTTAACACAGGCTTCTGCTCACCCTGATCTGTTTTAAGACAAAATAACTGCTTTCAAGGTATCTTTTTTCCGCCTCCTCGTGCTCTGGATCGGTGTCAGAGGCTGCACGGCCTTCCCTGGGGAAGAGGCAGCACCGGGCGGTGCAGGTGGCGTTCCCAAGGGCAGCGCCGATCCAAATGAAAAATAATTCTAAGCAGAGTTGTTATCTGCACGGTAACTTCTGTGCAGTTATCAGGCGTTCCCTTCGCCCGCCAAATTGCTGCACGTTTGGAATTACTTCATAAAAATCAAGATTCACAGTGATAAAAGAGGCAGGTTCTAGTCTGTCATCTTCTTTGCCTTCAGAGTTTGCTAAATACATCAAGCCGTGCCTATTTAAGCTTTTTTTTTTTTTTAATGACAGTTTATCTGAGCTCACGGAATGAATGGATAACATTACTATTTACATAAGCTCATTGTGATCTGTCTCGGTAATGTAATCAAATTAGGGTTAACTGCAGCTGGAGAATGCCAGCTTGTAAACTGTTTTTCAAAAAGAATCACATGGTGTTACTTGACATGTTTAGTATACATTCAGGAGGCTTTGCAAAAATTATAGCACATCCCTAAATAATGTAACTGAGGCAGGATTTTGTTGCCACCAGTTCTCTGAACCCGGGAAGGGAAACGCACTGAAGTTCATCCAGCGCCGGAGCGGATCCCCCCGAGCAGATCCCAGCACACCGGCTCCGCTAACGGGGCTGCTGCTGACATGTTGTCTTTCCTCGGGCCAGAATCAACATATCGGTTGATAGCAAAAGCATATGGTGTAAATTTTGAGTACATTTAAGAACATCTGTGTTAACTGCAAAACTGCAGCCCGCTGTGCATGTCAAGCACTGTATTTAGTATTATGGCACTCGCATGAGATGAAGTCCAGCCTGAGCTAAAATTACCTAATGAGTAGATTTTCAAAGTATCCTTTGTTATTCTTATTAATAAACATCACATCTGGTACTTACTTTCTCTCTTCTAATTAGGAGATAGTTTTTACATCGGTGGGTCTGTGCCCCTCAAAGCCAAACTCCTCGAGCTCTTGAATTTCCGTGTGTCTAGAAGGGCATTTCCAAGGAGGTTTCATCCCAAACAGGGAATGTGAAAGAGGAATTTTGAGAAATATATTCTTCAAATAGTTCCTATTCTCCCACCGTTGCTAAAATATCTTTTCCCACACATAATGTTCTGATAACTTGGGTGGGAATATGGTTTCATCTCTATGAGAATTATTCATGAAATCAGGATTTATTTTCCCAGAGATTAGAGGAAAACAATTAGAAAAATAATATTTCACTATGTCAAGAATATACCGTTTAAAAATTTCCTGAATGAACAAGTTTATTTTTCAATTTTAGACATTTTTTGTTTCACTTTATCTTTTTAGATAAAAAGGCAGTGATACTTTTCCATAGAAACAAAATTTTGGATGAGTATGAAACACTTTTTACAGAATTCATGTTCTCTAGGAATTTAGAAATTTGGGATCAGCTATGAAATGAAGAAAAGAAAGATTAAATATCCTTTGAGAAGCAGAACTTGTCCCTGGAGCACCAGGACTATCCAAACCAAGAAAAGGAAGCTTGTGTTGGCATTTAGATTCAGACTCAGGAATTCCTGACTGTTAAGCCTGTTTATATAGGGCTCTACCACAGCCCAATTTGCACTTCATTTTATTTTTTTATCCCCTCTACGTTTATGGTCGTGTCAAATGGGTGGATTATGCGCCCTGCACATACTCCACCGATTGTATTCCAGGGTATTTGCATATAATCGCTATAGTTGTGTCTCCGTCCGGAAGCGGCAGCGTTTCCTGAAGGTTTTGGGGTGGTTTCAGCAGAAGTGTCTTTACGTTGCGGCTCTGGGGGCTTTGGGGGGTCCCTGGTTGCCAGTAGCAGGGCTGGGAGCCGGGAGCGCTCCGGGCCGTTCCCGGCTCCGCGCGGACGGGGAGGTCGGCCTTGCTCTGGTGCTCACCCCTTGGGCCTCTCTGCTGCCAGCTCCTTTCCAAACCACAATTTCAGTATCTATTAAAGCTGCTGTGAAATACAGAGTCGTTTAGGATTCCTACTATGTAAAATATGACAGGTTGTTATTACAGCTGACCCTGGAAACGTTTGCCAACCTGTTTCAATATTTGTGCGTTGGTTGATCTCCCCCGACATGGTCAAAGGGGCCCAAGAACCTGGGGCCAAATCCTCAGCAGCTGCCGAATTGCCACGAAACTTCCTTGGTTTCAGCAGAATCAAGTGAATTTGCACCAGGAGAGGACTTGGCCCTTTCCTTCCTCTTCTTATTTCTTTTATTGAGTAAAACGGAGCTGTGGCCGTCGGGCCACATGTGCTGGCCCATCCTGGAGGGCGTTGGGAACCTGGGAGCCCCCAAACGTGTTTTGGCCCCCATACATGATGCTGAACTTGGTCACTTTGTGCTGTGCCTAGCTGCAGTTTGACTTTTCTTTTTTTCTGTTTTCTTTTAGCAAATCCTGAGCGATCCTGAGGTGACTTCCCAAGAGGGCAATATAAAAAAGGTAGGATATGGGTTAATCTTACCCTATTTTACTATTTGGCTTTGCAGTGCACTTTGACGCTTTTTTCTCCTTTTAAGTAAAGCTGTACTTTACAGAAACGTCTTAGAAGCTTTGCGGTGGTCGCTGTTGCCGTTGTGAACGGAGCCTTGGCGTTTCCTTGGCGTGCTGTGTGTCCTTTGGGTGCCTGCAGCGTTCCTGCAGGGAAGGCCGTGCTGTGCTGTGCTGCCCTCCCTGCAGAGCTGCACTCCTGGCCAGGGCCAGGCCCTTCTCGGGGACACTAACGTGACATTTTTTGCATGGTTATCATTGTTCGAGGGCTGTGCTTGACTGTAGCCCATGCAGAAGCGCGTGGGGTGGTGTGTCCTCGGTGAAGCTCTGAGCTCGCTGTGGTGCTTTCCTGCTGTCTGATCACACGTCTGTCCGTTTCAAAGTGTAGCGCATTTTACATCGGAACTTGCAACAACTGCCTTTTTATTCTCTCAATTAGGCCATTTTCAGTACTCTGTCCTAGCTCTGGGGGTTAAAAGGAAACACTTGTGTCACTCGGCGAGGCCCAGAGAAACGTGATACTTGTCGGGCTCCAGAGCTTGTCTGGGGAAGGTATTTGGACACATTACTGCCCAGTGCTATGTCCACACGTTCTCCCCGCGTTGAGCAAAATCAGCTTTTATTTTCGAGCCTGGAGCTTCCAATCTGGGAACTCCTCTGACCATGCCGTGACCTTCCAAGGGGACCTGTCACAACAGCGCTGAACTTTTTACCTTGTCCATCCCCGTAACTCATCTGGGGGTTGTCTGTGCCGCAGTGGGACCCTTTTGTGTGAACAGACATGGTGACAAGGTGGCAGGTTCTTATTATCATAGCGCCGCTACCGCACGGATGGAGCGATCTCCCCGTGTCCCCGTGCTGCGAGCGGCTCCTTTCTCAGCATCCTTCATTACAATATCCCAAATAAACTCCGCATCCGCACCCCGCTGGATCCACGCTGCCCGAGAGAGAGCCGGGCTTTGTATAAAACAAGGGTGGAAGGAAATGTGGAGCAGTCAGTGCATGCGTTGAAAGGGCTGCCTCCTTGCACTCGAGTACTTTTATCTGGAAGGAGAATGCTGCAAACCCGCAGTTCTGTGGAACAGCTCGAGTATTCTCCTGTGCACCGCATATACAGCTGGACAACGATGATATTTGAGGCTGCCCTTGCACGTCTTTCCTTAAATGCGCGGTAGAGAAGCGCTGGGGCAGTTTATGAGGTGATAAATTTATTGAAGGATGGGCAGTGGGGTTTTACAGCCAGGGTAGAAAAGGTCAGGGCAGTAAGGTAAAGAGTTCAAGTCTAAACTTAATGGCTTGTGAAGAGACTGTTGCGAGACAGCTTTGTGGTCAGGAGATGAAAAATAAAGAATGAAAAATCATCGTGTGCAATTTTTGTAGTATCTGACAATTATTTGTAAGCAGCCGTCTGCTTGTGCACGGGGTCGTGCGCCGCGCTTGCAGACCCTATGGGGAGCAGGATTCCCTCCCCAGCCTCCGGCGTCGCTCCGAGGTCCCGGGACACGGCCGGGAGGGACCGGGCTCCGGAGAGGAAACCTGCAAAACGGCAGGATGAAGCCTCGGGAAGGGCAGCCCGGCAGCGGCGCGGGATGGCAGGATGCGCAGGGAGCTGGTTAAAAAGCGACCCCAGCGCTATTTTGTGGTGTCATGTTACTGGAAAAAACATCCCATTTTGCAGCTTTTCATAAACTGAGAGGCAGTGAAATGTCTGAAGACGTAGCAGAGCAGACACTAGTGTACTGTATAATAAAACAGGCCCTTCTTCTGCTTGCAGCTAAGAGTTATTTTCCCACTACACCCAGTATTTTTCAGGTGGAATTACTCTTATTTCTTCTGGGACTGCTAGCACCAGAGGGCTGATTTTTTTGTTAGAGTTTGTCGCAGAATTAGAATTTCTAGCAATATAATTAAAGGACCTATATCCATGATCGTTTTTCCTTACCTGGAAATGTGTTACATAAAAAGAGGTTTATTTCTGCCAAACTTTTCTTTTATCTGCTTTGCTTGCTTTAACCTGTAAAAATACATAAGCACCTCGAAATTTTTGTTTGTTTTTTTGTAAATATTTGTTTGGTTGAAGGTAATGCTCAAGCGGAAGGGTCACTTTTTGAGCGAGCGGGATGGATACGCTCAGCCACGTGCACACATTGCAGTTAGAGCTGTGTATGAGCATGCGTGTTTTGTCTCGTATTTCCAAGCTCTTTTTTTTTTTTTTCCAATCCATTCTCCTGTTTATTTTGGTTGTGTAGGCGCTCACATATTCTTTCCTTCTGCATTTCCTAAGCATTTCCAGTGTGTTTAATACAGGGAAAAGCCGCCTTGTTGTCATTATCTCCACTGTCATTTTGATTTAACTGCGAGAGGGAGATGAAGGGTTTGCACTTCCTCGGCCAGGAAGCGATGCCAGCGCCTGTTCCAGCCCCTGCTTTCGGGCTAGGTGCATTTATCTCTCTTCCCAAAGTCACTTTGGATGGGGCCGGGGCCGGAGCCGGCGCAGGAGGGGCCCGGGCGCGCGGCTGCTTTGCCGGTGGTGACAGGGGACCTCGGGGACTTCTCTCTTCAGTCGGCTCTCTATTTAGTTTCTGTTTACTTAGAGGGAATAGCCTGAGGGGCTACTGGAGAGAAAACATCTGTGGGAGATAATCTATAGAGTTATCTATCTATCACTCTTGTCGACCCCGGCTCCCTCGAGAGCAAGCTGAGAGACTTGTAATAAAAAGGCATCGCTGAAGAGGCTTTAGGGACAAATAAAGAGACATGTTAAGGGCCAGCTGAAACAGGATGGAAGACATTATTAAAGCTCAATAGCCATCTTATCAAAATCCAATAGGATAGGCATTTGGCAAAAGGCTTTAAATTTATTCTTTGACTTTCTGGAGAGCTTGAATTTATCCATTAACAAGAATGTACTACACAGGGAGCAGGAGATGCTATCAGATTCAAAGGAGTTGGATTCAGTCTGGTATTTAAAAAAAAAAAAAGACAAAACAGAAAACAAAACCAATTTTTTCCCCTACTTCAGCCCACTCCATTTTTATATTGCAAAATATAGGAAGCCAGTAATGCCGTACAGCTGGCAGTATAAACTAAAAGTAATTTATTCAGTACCTTCTCTCATCTTCTCCCAAATAACATGGATTTTTTTCTGAAAATCATTACTGTTAGAAGCAGTGTGAGATTAGGTATCTTGACACAAAAACAAGGAAGCAGGTAGGGGGAAAGCCTTCCTTCCTAAAACAAAAGTTAAAATCAGCAACGTTTTGCTGCTACAGATCTTCCACAAGATAGGTCCATAAATCCCCCCAGGTTTAATATTATATCCAAAATGCTACAGGTCACACAAACCATCTGATACTTCAGAAACACATTGTCCGCACCAGATGATTGATTGATAATTATGATAATTTGCAAAATGATTATTTGGGTATTATAACCATACTTTGTCCCACCGGATAGCTGTGAAGACATTTTCTATATGAGGGGCCGTCAGAAACGGCCTCTGGCAAGGCGGGATATGGGAAGGTCTGGCCGGTCTCTCCCTGCGGGATCTCTGGGGCTGATGAATGACGACCCAGAGGAGCAAGAAATCAGACTTCAATAAGCAGTCAGGAAGGTAGTTAGGGAAGAGCAGGGAGCTGTTAACTGTCTTTTGTGGAGCAATTACGAGGCCCCGCAGCCTGAGGCCTGCGCAGGCCCTGCCGCGGCGCTGCGCGCGGGCCGAGCGCATCCCCGCTTCACGCGTGTCACAAAAACACCCGTGTCTAAAGAAACACCTCCGCAACTGCCGGCAACGCTGAGAAATTCCCAACACCGGCGGCGTTGCTTCATCCGTCGGTTCTTGTGTTAAGAATCAAATCCAAGTCTCGTGCGCGTGCGTACCACCCTGTCTAAAACACCGGCAAGCAGCGCGCGCTCGGCTCTCCTTAAAACACGGCTGCTTTGGGGCTTAAATTTGGCCTGGGGAGGGAGGGCACCTTCCTGCAAACGTCCCGCGCGCTGGGGGCTCCGCGGCCCTCGGGCTCGTCGGGCAATATCCCCCTATCCTCGATGGAAGGCACCGTCAGCACCGTTGCCGCCTCGCGGCTGCTGTTTCCCGAAGAGCTCTAATTTGCTTGTTTTATAGGTTATATCTTCATGCGATCGCAGCGTGTTTAGCTGCCACAAACAGAGGCAGCCCCGAGTTGATTTTTATAATCTTTCCTTGAATAGACTTGCGTCATTCCAATAAGCCCTGGACAAAAGAGTGGACAGTTGTCTGAGAGTCTTTTTTATAACATTTCTCTCTTTCCATTGTTAGGGAGCTGCTAATAAAAGAAACCAGGAGTCCATTAATTCAGTGAATGAACATATAGTAAAGTCAGTTCCCTCTTGAGAACAATAATGTTGCGGTCAGCTTAGGTTGCCATGGAAACTAAGTACTTCTAAGAAGTTTGCATCCTTGATTTTGCTGAAATGAAGCCGGGGAAGTAAGGGAAGGTGTAAAGCGGGCGCGGAAAGTCAGTGGGGAAAGCGGTGGTTAAATTATCGTGCAGGATGAACAGGCTGGGCTCAGTGTCTTTGGTGCAGGCGCTGGCGTGGGCTGGCCCCTCGTTTGCGCGGTGCGTGCGCGATGGATGGTTTTATGGGGAGGCCTTGCGGGGTCTGGGCCTGCGGATCGGGTCGGGCTGAGAGGAGCAGCAGCGATTCGGATTCCTCTGCCGCTGTCCCCGCTGTCCCCTTGGGGCGAGCCGCGAGGGCGAGCAAGGCCTCCTGCCTCCGAGGCCTCCCCGGGACGGGTAATTAGGGTGATTAATGGCAAACTACCCCGTTCTCTGTAGGCGGGTTAATGCAACGTCAGGATCATGTGTGAACCCCCTGCTTCAAAACAAAAATGAGATTTTTGGAAGGAACCAGCGCCACCAAAACCCCAGCCGCGACTGCAGTGGTGGTTTGCAGCAAGTGCCAGCGTCGCA